GAGAGGAAGAGGGGGAAAAGGGGGAGAAGGATCCTTCTGCCAGCAGCCAGGAGGCTCAGACCATCAAACATGACCTGAGAGACTAAAGAAGATCCAGCAGCACCCAGTGACCTCCCCCAGGCCCCACCCTCCCTCCCCCCAAAATCAACCCCTGAAATCAGAGAGCTGAGCCCCAGCAAATCCCCCCCCTGTGGGAGGCAGAGCCAGGGGGCTCAAGGGGGGAATTTTCTGCTGCTCCACGCTGGAGATGAAGCCAAGCTGAAGGGCTAAGAGTAGAAACAGCAGGAGGAGTGACCTACATTCCCCAGAGCTGAGGAGCCTCGTGGGCTGGGCGGGCAGGAGGAGGCTGCTGAGGAGCTGGGTTCTCTCTGAACCCCCCCAGAGGTGGGTGTCAGGAAGGAAATGGGATTAAACTCAGTCCTTCAACAGCAGAAGAGGAAGAAATGTTGCTTAAAAACCCCCACCAGGGGCTCTGGGCTTGTCAGGGGAGAGGGAATCTGGAGGGAACTCAGCAGCAGGTTCAGCCAGAAGCCCTAAACTGCCTCAAAACAGCAGCAGGGACCAAGAGGTGCCACCAGCTTAACATCAGGCTGGAGTCTGGGCTTCTCTCCAGCCCCACAAGGTTGTCACCAAAGCCCCCAAGTTGTCCCTGAGAACCTAAATTTAACCCTTGGGGTGGGGGTTTAGAGGTTTTTCCATCAGGGAAGGAGTTTCCCTCGTGCCTCTCTCCTCTTCAGACACCTCAGAGGGGTTGCAAACCCCAAGGATCATCTGCTGCTGAGAGCTTCTGGAGCTTCCCAGCTTCACCTCCCTCCTTCCAGCCAAAAAAAGGGGAAGTTGTTTCCATCCCTCACCTCAGCAGCTGCACCTCAAAGGCAAAAAAACACCCAAAAAAAAGGAAGGACATTGAGAATCCTCGTGGCCAACTAACTCAGGGGCTTCTAAAGCCAACCAGCTCAGGGTTTATCCCAACCACGAGCTCCTGAAGTGGCTTTTTGGGGGATAAAGAGACAATTTCTCTATAAAACTGCCTCAGGATTCCCTCACAGCAAGAGCCAAATTCACCCAGAGCAGCTCAAACCACCCCCCACGTTGGCCAAGGGCTGATTTGGGGGGAAGTTTTCATAAGTATCCCTCTAAAATGGTTTTATTGGGTAAAAAAAAGAGAGAAATCTGGAGTTCAGCTGAAATATTCCCATTTTTTCTCTTTATTCCTTCCATTTACTGTTGCTTCAGTTTCTCAGGAGCTCCAAACTTCCACCCTGAGACCACACCAGAGCTGCTCAGCAAAGAAATTTCCCCTCTGAGGGTTTCCAGAGAGGAAAAAATCCTTCCATTTATGGTTTCTTCCCTCTCTCAGGACCTCAAACTTGCTCCCCTGAATTTCTCCTTGGCTTCCCCCCCAGCCTGGAGGCTTCAGGGAGCTGAGGAGACCTCCAGCAGCTTCATCTCCAGCAGAACCTCCTCTGGGGGGAAAAGGGGGGGGAGGCCCCAGGATGTCAAAAATACAAAGAAAAGTTTAAAGGACGTTTGGTTTGGCTTGGAAAGTTTTATTTTTTCACAGCAAAAAATACACATTTCAGGGGAATACAAAAGGATGAGGCCCAAGGGAAGGCCCAAGGGGCAACAAAACCCTTCCCCCCACTAGCCCAACCCCCTTTGTGGCTTCAACTCCACCCTGAGCTCGGCTGGAGGGGCTGATTTGAACCCCTCCCCTCCCCCAAAATCCCCTCCCTCCTGCCTTTTACTTGCCGTTGATCAGCTCCAGAGCCTCATCTTTGGTTCGGGTGATCTTCTCCTGCCTCCAGGAGGAGGGTCTCCTGGACTGGTTGTGTTTCACCAGGAGGTGGGAGCAGCGAACCTTGCTGGGCTCCCCCTGCCCCCCGCTGGGACGTTCCCACTGGCTGGCGTTGGTCAGGTGGTTGAAATAATAAACCCGACCTGCAGGAGGGGGAAAAAAAAAGGGGGTTGGGGTTAAAAAGAGGCGAGAAAAGGCGGCTGGAGAGGCCGAAAACGGCTTCTGGGTCTTGAAAAATGGGGTTGGGAGCGCAAAAAAACGCCTCTAGACTTCAAAAAAGCCACTTCTGGGGTTTAAAAAAGCACCTCTAGACGTCAAAGAGTAGTTCTGGAGCTCAAAGAGCACTTCTGGAGCTCAAAAAAACACCTCTAGACCCCAAAAAAACACTTCTGGAGCTCCAAAAACCACCTCTAAACCTCCAAAAACCACCTCTGGGGCTCAAAAAAACACCCCTAGACCTCAAAGAGTAGTTCTGGGGCTCCAAAAGCCACCTCTAGACCTCAAAAAGACACTTCTGGGGCTCAAAAAACCACATCTAGACCCAAAAAAACCACTTCTGAGGCTCAAAAACCCAACTCTAGACCTCAAAAAAGCACTTCTGGGGCTCAAAAAAACAGCTCTAGACCTCAAAAATCACTTCTGGGGCTCAATAAACCACCTCTAGACTTCAAAAAACCACTTCTGGAGCTCAAAGGGTAGTTCTGAAGCTCAAAGAACACCTCTGGAGCTCCAAAACCCACCTCTAGACCCCAAAAAAACACTTCTGGGGCTCAAAAAACAGCTTTTGGAGCTCAAAAAACCACCTCTAGACTTCAAAAAACCACTTCTGGAGCTCAAAGGGTAGTTCTGAAGCTCAAAGAACACCTCTGGAGCTCAAAGAGCACCTCTGGAGCTCAAAAAACCACCTCTGGCTCTAGAAAGATGGCTTCTGGAGCCCAAAAAAACACCTCTAGACCCCAAAAAAACACTTCTGGGGCTCAAAAAACAGCTTTTGGAGCTCAAAAAACCACCTCTGGCTCTAGAAAGATGGCTTCTGGAGCCCAAAAAAACACCTCTAGACCCCAAAAAAACACTTCTGGGGCTCAAAAAACAGCTTTTGGAGCTCAAAAAACCACCTCTACACTTCAAAAAACCACTTCTAGGACTCAAAGAGCAGTTCTGGAGCTCAAGGAGCATTTCTGGAGCTCAAAAAACCACCTCTAGAAATAAAAAAGAGACTTCTGGACCTCCAAAAACCACATCTGGATCTAGAAAAAGGGATTCTAGACCTCAAAAATCACCTCTAGACCTCAAAAAAGGACCTCTGGGCCTCAAAAATCCTCCTCTAGACCTCAAAAAAGCACCTCTGGGCCCCAAAAAGCCACCCCTGGGCCTGACCATCAGCCTCCTGACCCCAAAAATGGATTTGTGGCCCCAAGAACTTGCCTCTGACCTCAGCAAGCAGCTTTCTGGGCCCTGAAAAGTGGCTTCTGGGTGGCAACAACGGGCTTCTGACCTTGACAACTGGCTTCCTGTCCCCAAAATCCACGTTCCTGACCTCAAGAACTGGATTCTTGGCCTCAAAAACCAGATTCTGGGCCTAAGAACCAGATTCTTGACCCTAAGAACCAGATTCTTGACCCTAAGAACCAGATTCTTGACCCTAAGAACCAGATTCTTGACCCTAAGAACCAGATTCTTGACCCTAAGAACCAGATTCTTGACCCTAAGAACCAGATTCTTGACCCTAAGAACCAGATTCTTGACCCTGAGAATCAGATTCTGAGCCCAAGACCCAGATTCTTGGCCCCAAAAACCAGATTCTGCCCCCAAAAACCATCTTCTTGACCCCACCACTGACTTCTGCCCCCAACAACCAGCTTTTGACCCCCTATTTCTGTGAGCCCTTGGCCGTGGCCATCCCAGGCAGGAACAGGCTCCAGCTGCCTTGGCAACCCAGGATAGTGACAAAACAACCCCCAGACACAGTCAGAGCCACAAACACCCCCCAGGCAACACCCCCCAGCTCCAAAATCAACTCCAACCCTCACCCAACACTCCCATGGCCACTAAA